TGTTTCTAAACTATTTAGTCTATATATGTAAGCCACTATTAATTATTCCTTCAAATTTCAGCAGTATTCCTTGGGTCCCTACTTTGTAAAGTGGGGATATTAACACCTTTGTTCTTTCCATCTACTCACACCCATCCGCTGTCCATTTTTAGTTGGTTTCTGTTAGCCACACTTAACTTTGCATCTTCAAGGTTAATAACATATATATGGTGTACTGCAACGACAACCTGTCTTTTGTGCTTTATCTGTAAGTAGAAGACCAATAAATTATCTGTAGATTTACCCAGCAGGGTGTTAGGATTGAATTTCCTGCAAGTCCAATGTCATGATTGCACAGCCACCCAATGAGTCTTGGCATTTAGGCAAAATAGATCAAATCTCCCTTTTTTCAATCCCTTAATGTCTGTTACTTTATTAAACTTATTTCAGGTTTTAGTTTCTTTCTTATTTGATCTGTAGTTTTCTCATACAGGTGTTTTTCTTTTGGGATTTCTGTCTTTTTTCCCTTGAATGATGTGTCTTTATGTCCGTGTATGTCTGCAGCTCCTCTTGACCATCTCAGCCTGCTTGATTTACACCCACCTGCTTTGTCTTCCAGAAGCACACTGAAATTTCTCATCCATTGGTGACCACCCCCTTCTCTTTGCTATTTATTCCTTTTTGTCCCACCTGTGGCAAAACCTGTGCCCCACCTTATTTAATTGTGGGCTATATGTACCTCATATGCACATTAACACATCTTATCACCTGTATTAGAAGGAAAGCTAATGTTTTAAAGATAAGAGATCATGGAATTTATGCTAATTAGCCTCTTCATTTCATAGGGCAGAAAACTGAGGCCTAGAGAGAAAACAGGTGTGAGCAGTTTTTTTCCCCCAAGAACTCTAAATTAGCAGAATTAAAATGAAGATTTTTTGGGGGCTTTACATCTGTTAGTCTTGCTCTGCTTCGTTACGTCTCCCCAGCCTTGAATCATCGTGTTGAGAGGTGAAAATTAGATCTGTAGCGTGCAGCTCATTTGGGAAGTTGGGGCCAGTCGTCCTGGAGGAGTCACACCAATTCTGACAGTTCCGTTTGTTGTCTTGAAAAAGACATAGAATGAAGTTGTTTGAGAATTGTTTTTGTTCAGAGTCTTGTTTTTTATGGTACTTTACTTAACTGTCATCCATATAATATCGATAACTACCAGAGAGCAGGCAGCCAGCTGTCAGTGAGTCTCATAGTTTAAAACCAAGGCAAAGGAGAAGAAATGGCTTTGAGAATTAAAAAAAAAATTAGTTTTAGAAAGCCTACGGTTAAGGGAGAAGCAAGATGGCAGAGTAGAAGGACGCTTGTAGCTCACCCTCTCCCACAAATACACCAAAACTCACATCTATGGGTCTACTCAGCCAACCAGAGCACCTGCTGAACTCCGACAGAACGTCGCCCTCTCTGAAAGACAAAGACGCCAAAAATCTGGTAGGAAAAAAGAAAGAAGAAAAAGCAAAACAGTGCAGGACTGATCCCGCGGGGAGGGAGCAGCAAAGGAGGACTGGCGCTCTTTCGCTGGGTTCCCCCTTCTCCAACGGAGAGGCCAGCGGGAGGAGGGGGAGCCTCCAAGGCTCAGATCTGCCCCGAGCACCCCTTGACCAACAGAACTGAGTTAAATGGGCACAAAGGGTCCCCGTAACACCCAGTCCGAGATGTGAGCCTGCAGCTGGGGCTGGGGCAGGCAGCCCGAGCTGGGCAGAGGACGGGGGCAGCTGCACTGAGGCAGCCCTGGGGGACTGCAAGGTGCTGCGTGCCGTGGCTGGGAGGGGAAACGGAGCAGAACAACCCCGGTCCCCCATAAATTGCAAAAAAAAGCAAAGCAACACGGCTGGTGTGCTCTGGGGGGAGGGGCGCCGTAGCCTTTGTCTCCTCAGACCTGCACCGCCATTACTGGCACATCTCAAGAGAAGAGAGGTGGGGCGCAGCCACAGCCGCCATATTCTCCTGTGTGCAGCGCCTGGGCGGGGCGGGTCCAAGACCTGAATCTGCACCCGGGGGCTCCACAACCTCCTAGGCAGGACACAGACTTGTTTACAGCTGGAGACAGAATCTTTCTGTCCTGGCACCTAAGAGAACTCGCGCCGCCAAGACAAACGAGCTGAGATTTGGCACGGAGCAGAGGCGGGGCCGTTCCGTGATCTTCCCCGAGCCTGCCTTCAGAATGCCTTCCCGAAGCAGAGCAGGCAGCTGCACAGAGCAGTGGAGCGACCGATGCCGGGGAAGGGTGGTCGGCAACCCGCTTTCCTGGCAGGAATGCAGCACCTGACCACGGTGCTGGGAGGGGGTGCAATCCGCCCACCTGCCTCCCCCAAGTGCAGCATCTGACTGCAGCATTGGGAGGGGGAGTGACTTGCCTGCCCACCGGATAAGAGCTCAGCACCTGACCCAGTGTTGGGAGGGGGCGTGATTTGATAGCCGACAGCCATTGGGAGCAGCACAGAAGAGGGCTCCAACAGAGGGCCTCTGGAAACAGCAAGCTGAGTTCACGAAACAGGGTGAAGACACAAAGACCTCTCAATAAAATCATTAAGAGCACAGCACCTCCAGGAGAACTAGATAACTGATACTCCTTAAGCCACAGTGCCAGAGAGATATGAGCAATATGAAGAAGCAGAGGAACCACTCCCAATTAAAAGATCAAGAGAAATTTCCTGAAAGCACGATCAAGGAAATAGACATTG